AACTATTTGGTGACCAGGTCTGCATGATCAAAACAACCTACAGTCTACTGACCATGGATTCTGCAAGCACACTGAAGCAAATGAGTGTGTTGCTTCTCAGTCACTCATGCACTTCTGTTTTCAGTTTACAAACCAGGAATGCCCTCTTCCTGGGTTTCCTCATGACAGATGAACCTGAAAATTCTGGGTTGTTTAAGGTTTAACAACTAGGAATTAACCCAGTTTTTCCAGGTTCACACATTATTTTATTGCACTGCACTGATTGCCCACCTTTCTTCCTCTTGCAAGGAATCTAAGGTGGCTCACAAGGTGGCTTTTCTCCATTTTATCCTTTGTCAGCACAGCGAGGGAGGGAGGGCTGAGAGGCAGTGACTGGCCCAAAGTCACCCTGTGAGCTTCCCAGCTGAGTGGGCTTCTTCAGATCTTAGTTCTAGGCCAACACTCTTAACCACTGTACCACACAAGTTCTAGGTGTTTAACTTAAAGCAGCAGAATGGGATAGGAGGCGTTGCATGTATTTGTTCTCACCTGCCCCCCCCCCCATTTCTGGGGCTAAACAATCCAGGAACTGACCACAATGAGCAAACAAGAGCAGTCTCAAGAGAGCTGACCAAGGCTCATATCCCACCACTATCATAGATCCCTTCTATAGCCTCAAGCAAAACGGCTCCTCTCAGCTTCCATTCCCAGTTACAATGGTGTGTCTCACAACATAGTTGCAAGAGTAAAAGATGTTTAAGAAAAAGTAAAACACTTAGCAAATTATTCTAAGCAACCACCTTGATTGTCTGCTTAGGACAATTGAAGAAGGCCAAATATTCAACTCTTTTATTGATTACAGCTATTATGTTTTTTCTGATATTATTTAAATTTCAGATCAAGTTCATCATAAGTGGAAACAATTTACACTAAATATCTCCAACAAGCTTCACTGTGTAAAAACTCATCTTTTGAAAGGGGGGGGCTATGTGTCACTTGCAACGTAACTTAAAGTGATTTCAAAGAATATTTAGATCTACTACTATACACTAAAGTTCTTCCCTTTGACTAATTAATGCTTCCAACTGGGTTGCCTATGTACATACTTAGTCTAATAAGGTAGATTGTCAAACTTCCCATTCTAGAGAGGAGAAACTGAGGCTGAGAAATGCAGACTTGCTGGACACCACAAAATGCATCCTGGCATGCGCATGGCTTGAGTCTGGGTCTTTCAGGTCTGATTGAACTCACAATTCCTTGCAAAACACAAAGGGAATCCCAAAAGATTTCCAAGTTTTTGTAAACACACAGCTCTCCCATAGGCAGTCAAGTATGCAAATTGCACATGTGTACAACTTCTATTTAGATCATCTCTTCTGTATGCAGACTGTGAAAGGAATTATTCCCAAATCTAGTATTTTATGTTTGCATCACACTAGAATTCCAACATTACTGCATCAAAGTTAGTAGGATAAATGGCGGCCGGGGGGGGGGGTCTTCCATATTATCTTTACAACAACCCACTAAAGTAGCTTGGCCTGAGATACAGATATTAGCCCAGCAAAAGTTTAAACTTGGGATACCCCAGTCCAAACTTGACACTGTAGTCATTTCCCACCCTGGCTCTCTGTTGATCTAGTTCAGAATACATACAATGCCCTGCATTTAGCCTCCTTTGTTTGTAGCACCCTTCCCCAACCTGGTGCCCTCCAGATGTTTTGGACTTTGGTTCACAGTAGCCCCACCCAGCATGCTGATGGGCAGGAAATTGGGGGGTTGAAGTCCAAATCAGCTGGGGGGGGGGCATCAATTAAGGGAAAGCTGGTTTAGAGCTGTAAATTTTCAGCTCACATGGCAGTGTTGCAGTGGAAATATCAATTTTTTCCAGAGTAAGATTTCAAAGATCCTAATGTGCTGGTTTATAAACAATATACCCACAGCTTGTGTTTCACCAACAGAGGCAGCCCCCTTCTGCCCAGAAAGCAACAGCTGTTCAGCAACATCCCCCAAAAGTTCCACTGAAAGACTAGAGGCTAGAAAGAAACATAACATTTACTGAAATCAACAGAAATTGAGAATGACAAATTTACTCCCGGCAAACATGAGCCACAATTTTATCATCCTCTCTGGACAGTGTGTATCTTGGCAAAACATGACATAACCAGTAAAACCAGCATATCAAGGCTTCATTTATATGGGGAGAATACAATTACTTTTCATTGATTTTTCTCCCTCCAATTTCCCCAAGTCTTCAGAAATGCCTGCACATTTCTTGTTAGGTACAAACCACTCTTTGGGGCCATGCACAAAGTTAGAATAAACAAACCATGGGACTGCATATCATTGCAGAATGCAGTTGAGGAAAATCAGATTCAAATGTGCCACGTATCAAATGTTTCCTGCTGATGGAAAGGTTGTTCACCAGGAAAAAAGATTCTCACGTCACTTTTTGCTGAAGCATTTTGAGATGGAAGACTCTCCATGAAGGAAGCCCCAGCCTTGAATTTAGAACAGCTAAGTAGGGATGTCAGGGAGAGGTCATTTTAAAGGGTGTTCATTCATAGGGTCACCAAATGTTAGAGACAATTTGACTGCACGTAACAACAAACAACACACACGCTTCCACTACTAAGCAATGTAGCACCAAGGAGGCTGGTTCATGCACTTCTTCTGAACTTGAAGAACAGCTCTTACCTAGGGAGGTCGTGGGCTCTCCCATGCTGGAGGCATTCAAGAGGCGGTCAGCCATCTGCCAAGGAGACTTGGAGTCCTGCACTGAGCGGGCTGTTGGACTTGATGGCCTTATAGCCCCTTTCCAACCCTTCTATTCTGTGATTCTCTTATAGCAAGTAGTCCAATCAGGATGCAAGCTGGGAGAGGCAGCTTCTTGCCACAAGAGGAAATTTCTCTGCTGGGCTGCAAAACTAACCAATTTGCTGCCCAGTTCCCAAAAATAAGTCATTGCATAAGATATAGGCCTGGGATGCAGAGCCTCAGACAAGGGAGGGGGGCAAATCCAGTCTCCTCAGCTCAGTCTGACCCTTTAGTTTCTTGAAGAGACCCTCTCCATTCCTTTTGACACAGCCACTGGTGGCTTGTTGATTTTCCAAGGATTCTGCATCTGCTCCTGCTTTTAAAAGGCTGGAGTGCCCCCCTTAGACTTTGTTCCAGGCAGTGGGAGCTGAAAGCTCAAATATGTTAGCAGATTTGGACCCACCTCTTTTGCCTGCAGCCCTCCCTCCCCTGCAATGTGGCCCCCTACAGATTCTCTGGAATGGAATTTGGACCTCAAACCGAAAGAGGTTCTGCACCAGTTGTAGGCCTTAGAAAACAAATGTTCAAAGGCACACTTGATCCCTGGAAATACCATGAGAGCCCACATACTGGAGCCAAGGCAAACTAGGAAGCATTCATATCACAGAAACTGAATAATCTAAAAACCCACAAGATATGAGGTATGTTTTCCAAGAGACGACGAGATTCTACAAAAGGGAGGAAGAGGGGAAAACCAGTCTGCCATGGAAAGAAGAGGGAAAAGCGCAGGCAGGGAGGAGGGCAGAGAAAGCTGATTCCTTGAAGAGGAATTTCTTTGTGTCTTAGGACATACAATCGAATCTGGAAAATTACAGGACCTTCAGAGTAAGGGAGAATTGTAGGGGAAGTGGACAAACCCTGGTCAAAGCATACCCAATGAAGCAGCAAGGGTCCTGATAAATAGGTGCTAGGAAACTAGTCAAGCCCAGAAGAAGCAAATTCCTTCTACCATTTATTCAGCAATAGCAACTCACTCTGCAAAACATTTAAGGAGGTAAGATCAGAGAAAGCATCACCAGGGACATCAGCGCTTCCACACATCAAAGTTGTGGAATATGACGCTACACGGCTGACCAAGTGGGATCACGCTTCTGATGAGCTTCACAAAGGTGGCCTCCTGATCTCATCCTCCAAAGGGTGATGCGTGGATACATATGGAGCATCCCAGTGCTGAGGGTTTCAGCCTGAGGGTCACATTCCACTCAGAGAAGCTCTTTGTGGCCACATTCCAATGTTAAGTGGAGAAAGGGGGGCATGACCAAAAGAACAGTAAAACTCAGGTGGACATTCTTACTGCCAGCAACTAAGCCATGAAAGAGGCATATCAGCTTTTCAGGATGGGGAAAAACTGCAGAGATGGCTGGTGGTGAGAAGCCACCTAAAGCTTCCAAACTGGACATGACATTTGGTTCTGCATTCCTCTTATAAAGAACGGTGGGAAGGGACAGCTTTTAAATCCATTCCCCGGATGCTGGGAAAACACATCCTAAATCACAGATGAAATAACGGGTGCTTCTAAAAGCAGCCATTCCCTGACTGGTACCCTCTGAATGCTTTATAGGAAACAAGGCTGGGGTAAGTGCTGGACAACACGACATGCCATACAATGGGGGAATCAGAGCACTGGCCCACCGAGTATTTTCAACGGGAATGGGTAAGCCGATGCCCGCCAGAGTGTGCAGGCTAGGACTGCCATCAGCAGCAACCGTCTTGCCCCGGAGGGGGATTATGGCCCTCCAGCATTTGGGATTGCACCAGGTTACCCACCGCAGCTCTCCGGCAGAGGACTCTTTCTCAACCCAACCAGAGATCCCACGTCAAGCAGGGGCTCTCCCCTTGCTCCTTCCCACCCTAGACTGGGAACCCTGGAAGGAGCGAGTCGGTGCCCTCTTCCCAGATTCAGCCCCGACGGGGGCCAGCGTGGGGAGAGCCCCACTCAGCAGCTCGGCAGTGGGGACGGGAGCGTGAAGGCCCCTCCTGAGAGGGAGCGGGCCGCGGCGGCGCTTCTCCCTTGCGGGGCTGCGGGGCGCGCGGGCCCTCGAGGGACCTTCCCGGCTACCTCCCGTGGGGGGCGCCCACGAGGGCCTGCTCCCCCACCAGCCTGCGGTGCGGGGGCGACAGGGCCGCGCTCGGCACGCCAAGGGGGCGAGCGAGCGAGCGAGCGGGGCATGTCCGCCTGGCGCGGCACGGCGCGGCGCGCGCCTCACCCGAAATCGTCGTCCATCGACTTGAAGTAGAACTTGTAGTTGGGCCGGTTGAGCAGCGCCTTGAAGTCGCCCAGCGTGACCCGCTCGGCCGGGATGGGCAGCTTCACCAGGTACGGCGTCTCCTGGTCGTCGAGGTGGTAGATGATCTTGGTCTCCGCCGCCGCCATGGCCCCGCTGCCGCCGACGCCCCTCGCCGGGCCGAGCCTCGCAGCCGCCCGAGCGCGGCCCAGCCCGGGCCTCCCGCGCCAAGGCCGGCGGCGGCCTCTCGCGCCAGGCGCGGTGCGGACGGCGGGCCGG